GCATACTTCTGTCAAGTCAAGTCAAGTCAAGTCAAGTCAAGTCAAGTCAAGTCAAGTCAAGGCAAGGCAAGGCAAGGCAAGGCAATGTTTATTACAGTCAAAGATCAGATAACTTGTCTTCCATCAATCTTATGTGCAAACCTGGGTTCTTACAGGTAGTCCTTGACTTACAACTGGTTGTTTAGTGCCCGTTCAAAGTTATGGCAGACCCCCCAAAAGGGACTTCCGGCCCAGATCTGAAGTTCTGTCGGCTACCTTTTCGCCCCAAAAAGAGTTGCATGATCATATTTGGGGCGCTTAGCAGTTGACCTGTCTTTACAACTGTTTACAATCACGTGACCTCAATATATGACTTTTTGGGGGGCAACCAGTATTTGATTCTGGTTTCCAGTTTTTTTTTTTTTAAAAAAACAGCATTTTTAAAAATTACATCTTTTATGTAATTAAAAAAATACTTGATTGTGCAGAAATGGACAGGTTGATATTGAGGATAAAAGATAAAGAAGATACAGAATACTTTCACACATAGGATTTATTCTATCAATGGTTGGATGATAGAAGTAGAAATTAGACATTAGAAAAATACTATTATCTATGATTTATGTTTTAATATATTACTAAATTATATAAAGGTAAAGATTCCCCTTGTACTTATGTGCTAATCGTTCCTGACTCTAGGGGGCGGTGCTCATCTCCGTTTCAAAGCCAAAGAGCCAGCACTGTCTAAAGACGTCTCCATGGTCACGTGGTCGGCATGATTCAATGCCGAAGGCTCACGGAATGCTGTTACCTTCCCACCAAAGGTGGTTCCTATTTTTCTCCTTGCATTTTTAATGTGCTTTTGAACTGCTAGGTTGGCAGAAGCTGGGACAAGTCACGGGAGCTAGGGATTCGAACCGCCGAAGTGCTGACCTTTCTGATTGACAAGCTCAGCGTCTTAGCCACTGAGCCACATTGTATTATATACTATTATGTAAAGAAAATACACCCAGACAATATGCTGTTTATAAAGTATTGATGTATGTTAAAGAAAATGTATAAATAAGTAATGGGTTCACGAAATGACCGCAGTGTTCACTTTGCACATGCCACAAAAAACTGAGTGTTTATGCACCATGGGCATTTACACACAACAACCTGTGCTTGGCAACCGTCACAACTGAAAAAAACCCGTAATTGCGAGCTAAACTGCATTTGTTAAGTCAAAAGACTGCTTGCACCCACTTGGGGTTGGATGGAATTGTTGAGAAAGCAGTTAAGAGTCCAAGCGAAAGATTTACCCTTTTTTTTTTCTCCCCCCCCCCCCCCAAGGAATGAAATGAAAGTTCCTTACCTGTATTTGGGTCTGGACCTGTTGTGCCCCACCTGTCTTCTGGGGCTGAGAAATCGGCGTTGGTAGGAATTGGGCTTTGATGGCCGGCTGGGTGGCATAGACTTTCTGCTGCTGAGATGCTGGCTGCTGGGTCTGAACGGTGACCTGCTGGGAATTAGAATAGGAGTCGGAAGGGACCTTGGAGGTCTTCTAGTCCAACCCCCTGCTTAGGCAGGAAACCCTACACCACTTCAGACAAAGGGTTATCCAACCTCTTATTAAAAACCTCCAGTGTTGGAGCATTCACAACCTCTGGAGGCAGGCTGTTCCATTGATTAATTGTTCTGACTGTCAGGAAATTTCCCCTCAGTTCTAGATTGCTTCTCTCCTTGATTAGTTTCCACCCATTGCTTCTTGTCCTGCCCTCAGGTCCCTTGG